CACCAGCATCAAAGGAGACACAAGAAAAGGAAGAAGGGAACATCCTCATCCATTTCTTGGACCCAAGGATGTTTATTGTTTTTCCTAAGGACATTCGAAGGACGTGAGAAGTGAACTGCTGGGAGTCCAGCTCTCTAGGACAGTCTATGGACATTTGGTTCTCGTGGTGTAAGTCAGTGGTGGTCAGGGCTGCGTGTCCATCAGAATCCCGCAGGAGCACTCGGAGACAGGCTTGACACCAGACTCTTGCGGGGTGAGGGGGGACAGGCACTGCGAAGATCTGTCAGAAGTGAGAACGTCCACTTTAAATCCTATCACACCCTTATCACACAGCGGAGTAAACGAGACTTCTCAGAACAGTGTCTGCATCGATTTCAGGTGACCTGAGCTTCGCAACACAGTGCGAAGCTGCAGCAGCAGCACCATGGCCGGAGGCGCGGTGAGGAAGCCTAGTTGAAGACTCAGACATTATTCTCATCAGATGTTTCTGGTATCTCAAACACCGAAAAGCCAAGGGCTGCTCAAGAGTCTTTCTCACAGATTGGAAATTTCACTCATAGTCCACTTGATGAAAAGACCCCAAAGGGTTTTTCTCCAGGTACAGAACCCCTGCGATCTGCGGCTTTCAGGCAAACCAACCAGGGCCTGTGAACCCAGGACTAACCCGGAACAGGGTGCCTTTATTTACAGGTGGTTCACAACAGCTCACTCTTTAATGGTGACACACCGGGAAGCTTAAATGATGACACTTCTTTGTAAAAGGTCTCTTCCAGAGATATGGCGCTGCGCTACAGATGGGCTGCTTTTAGGTCCTTCAGTCCCTTCACGGGGACACAGGTTTGATGTTAACTTTTCAAAAGAACTTACCAAGGTAGGTTTAAAGTAACTCAAACTTACCAAGACTACTTCAAAGAACACCAAAAGTCCTTAGCTGCCCCTCTCACCCAACTCCCTACCACTGAGTCAATGCCATGGGTATTGCCAAGGGTAGAACTGCCCTTGTGAGTTTCTGAAACTATCACCCTTTACAGGAGTAGAAAACCCCATCTTACCCCCACAGAGCGGCTGGTGGTTTCAAACTGCCGACCTTGCAGTTAACAGCCCAATATATGACCATTACGCTACCAAGGCCACTTGTACTATATATACTAGGGGGACTTCCATCATCTTTTCATTCAGTTTTTCCATGAACTCTGTCTTCGGTGTGGTCACTTAAGAGCTTTAGAGGAAGCATTCGACCATGGCATGCTCTTGTGGAGCCCGTTCACCCTCTCAGAGTATTATGACTACAGAGGACAAAGGATGCTGACAGATGTTTCACCATAGAGACCAGGAGCAGAGCAAGGCATAGGCACCAATGCAGCTGCTGCATCCGCTCCTCAACAACTCCTGGCTTGAATATGCTGCATTTCCAAAAGTTGGTATCGCACACAAGTTCTAAGCAGCATCTCAATCAAAGGCCAAGAATGCCTCTGCTTATCAGATTTCCCTGGTCTACTTTTGCACAGGTGGAGGGAATTGATTCTCGTCAGATAGGCATTTTCAAATTCATACTGGGTGTTGGGACGCCCTGCGCCTTTGGTCAAAGGCAAGAGGGACTGAAGATGCTCAAGTACGCAGTGTAGAAACCTGTCGACAGCTTTCCTCACATCGAGAGGCAGCGTGCGGGAGAAAAAGGTAAAGCGCCACTGCTCTACGAGAGAAAAGGACATAAAGGCTTCCAAACAGAAAACCTCCATGCTCTCTGTATTCCATTTTTCCTAGGACAGTTTGAGGCTCCCTTCCGCTCTTCTCTTGGTAGAGATGGACTACAGCATTAAGACCGGCTTTCGTTAGCATGCATCTCAACTCTGCAAGATGCAGCACCGCACTGTCACGCTGACTGGCACCTAGACCATATCGAACCCTATGTCACACCTCAGGAACATGCACACGAGGACACTGGGGTGGGGGTGGGAGGCACGGGATGGGACAGGCAGGTCCTTCATCTAGTTTCCCCCAATGACAGCATCTTGCTTAACACGAAGGCAATATGGAAATTGACCTTGGCACTGGCCACCACCTTTTGACTATGCCATCTTCCAAGGCATGAGCACAGAAAGCTGCCTGTTCACTTAGGTTTCCTTTGGTTACAGGAGTATTTTCTAATTTTCAGCATACGGATCCTAAACATACTTTGTTAACTGCAAACCAAGGGCATCCATTTTCTTTGGAGTGACTGTACACAAACTGTGGATTTAAGTTTGGAGCTCACACGCACTTCATCAGCACAGAGAAGTGGAACTGGGTTTGGGGGCTGACGTGGTATCCTGCCACCTTGCTGAGTTCACACAGCAGCTCCAGTCTTCCTGTCCGACGCAGTCCTGTCATCTGCAGACAGGGACTGCGGGAGGGTAGCTCTTCCTTCCCAACCTAGATGTCTTTCAGTCCCGTGCTGAGTAAGAACAGGAGAGTGGACATGCTCGTCTTACTGCCAGTCTCATTAGTAGGGAGAAGCCTTCAGCCTGTCCCATTAAGTGTGATGCCAGTGGGAAAGTTTTGTAGCTGCCCTTCAGTGAATCAAGGAAGTTCCCCTCTATTCCTACTTTGCTGAAAGCAAAGAATCATATTTTAATACATGGAAATATACAGATTTATAAAGAAAACAACTCTAGTTTTTGTACTGTAATATTCATGAGAGCACTGCTCATAAAAGTAGATCATTTCCATTAAATGCTAAACCACGAATTTGAGAAATATTGTTAGTGAGGGCATAAAGGAGTTTTATTTATATCCCAAGAGGGGTTACACACACCAACTCTACATTAAACCCTTTGCATTCTATTAATATGGAGTTGTGTTTTTAAGTAATTAAGATTTCTACTGAATAATTAATAAATTAATGTGTAGGCTGAAGGTTTCATTTTTTATGTTTGTCTATGAACTAGGAAGCATTTAACATAGGGGGACTTTAGTTCCAGACCTGTAGGAATCCCTTCAGACAACTTTCCTTTTCCTTTTAAAATTTTAGTATGCCATATTGAAAAAAACAACAACAAAAACTCATAGTGACCTTAATAGGACAGAGTAGAAATGCTCGGTGGGTTCCTGAGACTATCAATCTTTACAGGCGTAGAAAGCCTTATCTTTTTTTCCTCAGAGTAGCTAGTGGTTTTGAACTGCTGACCTTGTGATTAGCAGCCCAAGGCTTAAACCACTATGCCACCAGAGCTCCGTATGCAACATTCTATATTTTTTTCAAAGTGAAAGAACATTACAATGAATACCTGTGCACCCATCACCCAATCTAAATAAAATGCCACCGCTGCACCGAAACTCTAGAGATGCCTGCCCCGAGATCTGACCTATCTTAAATCTTATGCGTTCTTCTCACACATCCCTAAACAATAGACACAACTGCTTTGTAGGTTTTCAATCAGTCATGCTGACAGATTTCAAGTTCCCTCATTCTCATTGACGTAAAGAATTCCATAATATTAAAAAAAAAAAGAATTCCATAATATAAACATCAAGCAATTCCCCCGTTGATAAAGCATTAATTAAAAACGCTGCTAGAGGTGTTCTTTGAAAAGACCTTCTTCTGTCCCCGAGCAGGACCTTCTCTGGGTGCGTACAAAGACTGGCTGGGTCATGCATGAGATGGGCCCCCCACACTGCACATTCTCAAACTGTCCCCCCTCCAGTAGTGCGCTGTGGTTCTGTGGTCTGAGGAACACTTGGTTTTGCGTAGCTTTAGTTTTAGTCTTTTAGAACAGCATAAATCAGTATTTTACTGTGGTTTTAATTGATTACCAAGGATGTTTGAGCATCTTTTCATAGATATGCATCTGTGTTTCCACTTCTATCATTCCCCCACTTTCTAATTAGAGTTGTTCCACGAGTCAAAGATCTGTGCTCCAACATTCCAGTAAAAGACCTCAGCAAAGCTGGTTACGACAGTGGGCACAAACCATTTCCTTTCCTTTCCCAGAATGCACCAATCAACATGAGAAGCAGCACCTTAGTGTACACGTTACTAACAGTCATGGCAGCCATCTTCCATATCTTAGAGTTCAAACTGTCAGAACACAAATGAACAACCCTCATTTAAAAACTTTGATTTCATGTGCACTTGTGATTAGGGTATATTTTTCTCATATTAGACCAAAAATGTAAAATCTGACCACTCTCTCAAATTAACAAAGCCTTAAAAAATTAAAAAACAAACTCCTATCATACCACTTTCGAGACAGACATAATCCCCAGGGGCAGAGCTGACATGGCTGAAAAGCAGCAAACATATCCACTATGGAGGACTAGATAACTCATGACAGGTGAGGGCACAGAAGTCCATGGGGACCAGAGGGTGAGAGTGGGCTGGGCCAGTCCAAGGCCACCACTCTTCCAGAACCTACAATGTAAAAGACACTCCAATGTACAAGTTCCCAACTTGTACCATGAGACTGACAACAGTGATCACACGGGTTGCTATGAAAAGTAAGCAAAATAATTTAGGAAAGCAATACCTGTAATAGATTTCATTTTATTTTGTTGATGAAGAAATAAAGCTGAGAGAGGTCAATGTCATAGTTTATAAAGGATTCCAATTCTCAAACTTTAAATTGCCCTATAATTCCACAATGCCTCTCTAATATAGGTCTCAAAGACCTGCTTGAAGGAATTCAGAAGGAGATGGGGAGGGCCAACACCTACCATAAGAATCTAAGAAGACAGTAAAAGTACTTTAAAAAAAAGTCCTTTTTGAGTGGCTACCTTCGATGATAACCTACTCATTTCCTTTTGTGGTGGCAAATACATGTTTGATATTTGCCACGTGAAAACTGGAATAAGACTAACTGCCATGTTTAGGGATAGTACAGCACGTGTGAGATCAGTTTTATTAGTTGGGACACTTATAATACACATTCTATTAGACCCAGTTTTTCTTTAATCAACCAATTTGGCACGAGACTCTCGGTGGCAGAGTGCACGTGGGCAAACACGGGCGGAAGGTCACCTACCTACTGCAGGTGCATCGTACTCATCGCCGAGCAGAATTTCTGGAGCCGAATACGCAAGCGAGCCACAGCTGGTCGTGAGCTTCTTCCCAGGCTGAAATTTGTTGCTGAAGCCAAAGTCCGTCAACTTCACAAGACCTTGCTTTTCAAAGAAGACCACGTTCTCTGGTTTCAAGTCTCTGTGCACGACGTGCAGTTTATGGCAATAAGATATAGCATGAACAATCTGAGCAAAGTACTTCTTGGCCACGTCTTCATTAAGACCCTCCTCGTGTCTCATGATGTAGTCAAACATGTCGCCCCCATCGCCGAGTTCTAGAATCAGATACAGTTTGGTCTGGGTGTCAATAACTTCATAAAGGCGCACAATGTTGGGGTGCTGCACTAGTTTCATGCACCTTACTTCCTGGAAAAGGTGACCCGTGGCGAGGGTGTCCAGTTTGGTCTTGTCGATGACTTTTACCGCCACCTTTTCCCCTGTGAAAACGTGCCTAGCAAGTTTAACGACAGCAAAGTGACCCCGGCCCAGGGTTTTATCCAGGTCATACAAGCCCGCAATCTTCCCGTCGTACCCTCGCTTGAAGCCTGCCATGCTGGTCCAACAGGAGAAGGGAGCGTTTGACCGTTTGAAATAGATCTTCTCATAAAAGGGTATCTGGTGAAAATAGAGAATTCATTTTCAACATCGCCATGGACATCTGGAAAGTAAGAGGAGAAACAAAATTACACTCCTGGAACTTCCCTTTTATAGTGGACTTTAAAACGGCTTCTTTTGTTTTGCTTTGAGAGACACTTAGGAATACATAAACGGAGACAAAATGAGTCAGGGTCATTTATAAGAACTTATTCCTCTATTTTAGTTAGGTTCTTCATAAAGGTGGAGAATCTCAAATGAAATTTTGTGAAATAAAAAAATCAATTCTGTCAGATACACTTCCTTTCAGCTATCAGAAGAAAGAAAACTGGCAAGTTTGATAAGCTACATTTAAAAAGCAAACATTTTCCAAAAGTAACATCAATTAATGGCCTAATAAAAAGGGCAAGATTTGACAGGAAAGGAAAAACAATAAACATTTGGGCAGAAACTCAATAGTCTTTTCCTGTTGTCCCAAGGCTGGTACAATTTCCTGTACGTGCACACATGACCTTTAGGGAAGCCCACTCTGGTCCTCCCAGCTGGAAGCTACCTCTCCCTCTTCCTCCCTCCAAGGCGGAGACACCTCCACATTACAGCTGTGTGTTCCACAGGAATGTGGGCACACCACCTTCATCCTGGCACTGGAAGGTCCTCGAGAGCCTTTTATTCTAAGTTCTATTGTGTTCTTCTAGCCTCCACCAATACCTTTACTTTGTTAAATTCTCAAATTCAGATGCTTTCAGAGTTTTTACAAGGCCGTTAGTTCCTTGCTTTTGGGGCACTAGAACAATACCTCTCATGTAGTGGGTGCGTAAGAAATACTTTCTGACTATGAGCTCATTCATTGTACTGCCTGTCTTTATTATGGCTTTCCAGGCCTGCACTGTAAGCCACCACAACCTGCGTACAAGCTGAGAATCAAGGAGCATGTACCCTTAGAGACCATTTGAATGCTGGATCTACTCAGGGGAGGAGAAACAAATCGCTGCGCAAAAGCAAACAAACTGAGATGCTACTTTAAATTTCACAGGGTGGACTCCTACCATTATTTTGTGCTGACCAGCTACTAATGAAAATGACTAACAAAATCCAGTGAGACACACAGCAACCTCTCAGGACTAGCTAGCCTAATTCTCACCCTTTGGCGAGACCTTTCTAATGCACCCAGGGAGGTTCACACTTCCAGTTACACTTTATTAGATCAGCACTTATTTATTTCACATAGTTAGCAATATTTGAAAAAGCTAAATTGTACAAAACAGGTAGGTTTTTCTTATGTGCAAGCGTGCGCGTGCATGCATGTGTATGTGTTTAAGGACTAGCATTAAATTCCTTGAAATCTCACCCAACTCCCTACCACTGAGTCAAACACAGGAGAAAGTGAACATTTATTGAAAATCTACACAGCACTCTGTTTCACTGGATCCTTACAATCCTGAGAGGTTGGTCCTGGTCCTATTTTTAGAGCCAGGAAAACAGGCTGCGTTTTAGGCACAAGTAACATGTCAAATGCTGAACTCTGTGCCGCTGAACTGATTCCAGCTCGGTGACCCTGTGTGACAGAGGTGAACTGCCCTGTGGATCCCAGAGCCATCATCTCTTTTGGGAGCAGACAGCCTCACCTTCCTCCTGAGGAATGACTGGGGGATTCAAGTTGTTCTACTAGCAGCCCAATGCGTAGGTCACGACACCATAGGGCTCTGATCAAATGCTAACGCTATGATTAAACCTTAATTCTTATTTCAAAGTCTCCTCCATTCACAGCCCTTCTGACTATGTTAAGGGAAGTTATATTTAGAAGAATATCTCAGTTAAAATAGCAACAGTATCAAGGCACCATAAAGTCATTCTTACAGGCACATAGAAATGATCTGAATCAGGCTCCTGGGGATGTATGTATATGTATTTACATACCATACATATGTAAAAGTCAGTGTTAATAAATTTACTAATTAAAAATATACATTTCCGTAATTATTACAACACATAGCAACTACCATTCACTGAGTGAGTGTGTCATCCCATTCATGCAGCAAACACTTTAAGTTGCCCTCATTTAAGTTGTCAACCACACTTGGAGACATACTGAAATAGTAAGTAACTTGGCCGCAGCTGCAGGGTCAGCCTGTAATAGTCCAGGGCTGTGTGATGCCAAAGTCTGTTCTTTAATCTTTCTACAAACTGATTTCAAAACCAAAATAAAAGGACTAACACTTCATTTATTAATACTGTAAAGTAAGAAATGAATACCATGTACAGGTGGTTGCGAGAAAGCAGATTTCTTCTGCATTCGCTCAGCTAATAATTCCAATGGAAAGATTAATAGGAAAATCCAGACAGAAAGGAAACTTTGCCGTATTTGCTCAGCAGATACCCAAAAGTAACTTCAATTCAGATATTTTAATTTTCAAATATAAAAATTGTAGGTTAACCCCATTGGGCAGAAAACCCTCTTTAATTCTTTAGCTTCAATTAATTTTCAGGGCAGTAATTATTCTTAACATTCTTCCTACGTCTAGTCTCTGTTTCAATTGCACACATTTGCAAATGCAACATTCATTTCCAAGAGACTTCTTCAGACCACCCTCAATTCATGAGGGGGCTTCAAAAAACTGGGAACATTCTATTATCTTCCAGTTTAATTTTCCATGAGGTTTTGAGACCCCCTCTTATAATCTTCGTTCTTTTCATGGGTCCTTTTGGTTTAGATGTGTTCCTGGCAAGTGCACACGAATTGGATTTTTATAAACAAACCGGAGTTTTCACTTTTGTGTAAACTATTTCATCATAAGGGTAATAAATGAGAGAACTTTTTCTCCAGGCGTCAGATAGCCAGGCATCACCTCTGTGAACAGCCTTTCTCTTCCCAGTCCCGTGCCGGCAGAGCAGCACAATGAAGCCACTTTTCACCCCCTAGGGAGTACCTGGGAACGAAGTTGGTCAGGCCTCCTGGTGATCATAAAATAACTCACTGCCATCGAGTCGGTGCCCTCTTACTGCAACCCTGTAGGACAAGGAGAACTGCCCCTGTGTGTTTCAAGACTGTGATTCCTTTTTTATTGTTGTTGTTTTTATTACTCATTTTACTGGGGGCTCTTACAACGCTTCTTACAATCCATCACTCAATTGTATTAAGCACACTTGTACATATGTTGCCATCAACATTTCCAAAACATTTTCTTTCTACTTGAGTCCTTGGAATTGGCTCCTTTTTTCCCCTTCCCTCTCACCCTCGTGAATCCTTGATCAATTACTTATCATTATTATTTCCTATCTTACACTGTCCATTGTCTCCCTTCACCCACATTTCTGTTATTCAGAGAACTATCAGAGAACTCACTCTTTGTAGAGTACCGTGCTTTAGAGTCTATGAAACGCCAATCAAATTGCAGTCCCAAGGACAGAGCATTATGACTGACGGAGAGTTAGGAGGACCAAAAGAAAAATCCTTGTTACTGATTACCTTTTTGAAGACTAGCCCACCATCTAGTCCTAATATAAAATTTGAACAGGAAAAAACAAGTCATTTTTGGTACGTGAGGACCTTGCAGTGGTTCAGACGTTCTGAACAACGCCAAATGTTAAGCTGTGGTTTATGGAGTGCTAGGGTAAACTGACAGCCTCTCAAAGACTTACCCTGCAGACCGCAGACCGAAGAATCCTCGGTATCACCATGCTTCCTTAGTTGCTTCTTCCCCCTAAAACAAGAAAAGCAATTCTAGTTAGTTTATTCCTATTTGTTTTAACCTTGCTTAAAAGTCATATTGCCTAAACCTAGATTTTCATGAAACTGCCCGTGCCCCCGCCCCAAAAAAACAACTTCTTTTAGGGGCCTGGTCACCTGCTATTATTCTGCCTATGAATTACAACCCCTTGTTTATTACCTTTAGTAAAAGAAAAAACTTTTCAGAGTGAACTGGTACAGAGATTTTTTTCCAGGTAGAGAGCATGGAAAAGCCGGTTGCAGTGACTGATTCAGGGTAAAAGGAGAAAAAAGTATTATGAGGGTAAGTCAAACCGGAATGGCACAAAAATCACTGAAACCTTGTTAAACAAAAACACCAAAACGTGGAGCTATTGTTTCCCAACATAGCTTCCTCATAGGGCTATACCCTAAAATGATACCATCTACTAGAGTTTTGCTAAAAATGTGATCCTAGCCCTGATCTCAACATCACTTTTTCTCCTGGTACAAAAACAAACAAACAAACATCCATTTCCATGTTCTGAAAGCACCCTAAGGAGATTATGACAAAAGCACTACTGGGAGAACTTGTGTGCAGCCACCAGAGAGGGTCCAAACATGTTTGGTTTGGAATAAAGCCATGCAAGTATGAACTGGAGCCCAGGGCAGCAATGCCTTTGGACTTACCATCGCAAAAACCGACTATGTGCTCGTCCTTTTCTAAAGCCTTCTGGGTTACTGGCACTAAGTGCCACTTCGTGGACTACTCACTGTGAGCCTGCAGGGTAGGTACGATGAGGCTCAACCTGCCCAGTCATTAGCAGAGCTGTGGGCCTCATCCGGCTCAGCCTGGCTTTGAAGCCCATCCCATCTGCAGGGCCCCCCAGGGCTCACAAAATGCACAAAGCCACAGCGCTGTCATGTAACAGGTTAGGGGACATCAATGACAATGCCAGCATCAGGAAGCACACGCACCTTTCCATTTGAGATGAACAAAGTGAGTGTAAGCAGACCATGTCTATGCACAGTGAGGCAGTACTCCAGGCCTTTCTGTGGCCATGAAGTAGCACACAAACAACCTAGAGGCCTTCCAGTTATCAGTGATCCCACATGCCAGAGAGAGCTGTCCCAGAAGGTTTTCCTTGGCTGTTCTCTTTATGGAAGCAGATCACCAGTTCTGTCTCTCACAGCATCACTGGTGGATTCAAGCCACAAACCTTTTAGTTGGTAGCTAAAGGCTGAGCTGGTTGTCTCACAGTAATTCACGTGATGCACTGTGGATGAGTTACAGTTGGATGATCGTGAAGCCCGAGCGTGGAGGACTTTGGAGGGAAAGCAGTGGGGGAGAGTAGACAAGAAAAGGTGAAGGAGGAGGGACGGCCCCCAGATGTGAAAGCAAGGAAGCAGGGAAAGGAAAGGAGATGGAGAGACCCTCAGCCTGGGAAGCGCAGGCCCAGGCCCAGGCCTGAGAACAGTAGGGGCCCACCCAGTCCTTCAGCTCCGACTGGGCCACGGTAGCACCGCCCCTTCACTTTTCCTTCTCTCTCTCAGCCCAGTCCCACCCATCAGCTCTGTGGTGAGGCAGTGTGGGAGCCCAGAGACTAAGCACTGACTGCAGGTAAGGGCTGGCTAGGAGTCCCAGTTCTACTCCTCACTAGCCAAGGCGCCTTGAGAAGCTACCTGACCTCCCCATGCGGTCCATTCTCTCCTTAGAAAGTGTTAGACATGAGTTAGCACAGGTAAAGTATTTAGAATAGCACATGACCCAGAATTAGCAATGCAATAAATAATGTATCTAGCTGGGCATTAGCTATTGGATGATTTTTCAGTAAAACTCTCCACCAAACCTCAGCATTTGCCTTCAAAGTCCTATCCTGATGATTTCCTACCAAAGCCGCCCTTTCGAAAAGGTCTAAATCAATGGTTCTCAACCTGTGGGTGGCAACCCCTTTGGGAGTCCAACAGCCCTTTCACAGGGGTCGCCTGATTCATCACAGTAGCAAAATGACAGTGATGAAGTAGCAATGAAAATAACTTTATGGTTGGGGGGTCACCACCACATGAGGAACTGTATTAAAGAGTTGAGATATTAGGAAGGTTGAGAACCACAGGTCTAAATGGTCTTTATCAAAGTGATGGATTCCTACAGGAACTCTGAAAACGTAAACTGGGAAGTAGAGAGGGGCCCACATGGAAAATGAGTCCTATTAACATGTTAGTGGCCTTCCTGCAACCATGCACACACACACAATGGAACATCACGTTACCAAGAGTTTTCTCAAACTTCCATTATCCCACTTCTAGGATACTACTATTGTGTCAGCATTTCAGTACACAGCCTTCTAAATTCTTTTCTATACATAAAATATGTCTAGACCCAATCTCTTCCTAATAAAATGAGAAAATAAACACATGGCCATTTTCTAAATATTTCCTTCAAAAAGTAAGTTAGTGCATGTTCCCTTTAGGGCAATGGTTCTCAACCTTCCTAATGATGCGACCTTTTAATACAGTTCCTCATGCGGTGGTGACCCCCAACCATAACATTATTTTCTCTGCTACTTCTTCACTGTCATTTTGCTAGTTATGAATCAGGCAACCCCTGTGAAAGGGTCTTTCGACACACACACCCCCCCCAAAGGGGTCTCAACCCACAGGTTGAGAACCGCAGCTTTAGAGGGTTGGGGAGATGCAAGAATGCCAACAGAGAAAATACAGACCCTGTGAAATCGCATCTGAACGACCCGCATTCGGGTTTGGAGATGCGTCCAGGATCCCGGCGCTCTTTACAAAGTTCTTGGGAGTCACACGGGAAGTCCAATAAGAACTTCTTTCTCTGCTTCAGGTGATGAGCACTTTTCTAAGCACTGCACAGTTACTGTGTCAGTCAGTATTTCTACTGCTCAGGTGACATCTTTTTAAACCACGAAAAGGGGCCATTCCAAAGTAGCCTTCTGACTTAGTATACGCTCACACCTTCAAATAACTAGCCTGGACCTAAATGACAAGGGCAGTTTATCATATGGAAAGTCCACATTTGAGAAACAAAAGCTGGCATGTGTTGCAAGAATAGACGGATGTTCTAGCTCATGAGAGCAGGAACGAGCAAGGCACGCGGGTGTGGCTAGAGAAGAGGAAGGAAGTGTGGGTGGCCCTACACACATTTTGCAAGCTGCTGAAAACAGCTGTAGAGCCAGCCTCTCTTAAGCTTACTGTCCATTTGGAATGCACTCTGTTACTATTGTAGAAACCCACTGTGAGTCTTCTGTTGGCATCACCACCAGTGTGGGGATTACACAAACCTCTCCTCAGAAGTAGGATGGGCATAATAGCATGCTGAGGAGCGATGGTGCTGCCAGGATTCAGCCCATCCATGCTCTGGGGAAGTGGAGAAATGAACCAAAGAGGCAGAGTAGGCTCCGCCTACTGCCACTCTAGGTCATACCTAGAATATTAGAAAGTTTCCTCTAAAACCAGACCACCAATACTCAACTACACAATGAATGTCAACAACAAAAATGAAACCGGTGCTTTAAAATCTACACTGTCTCACTATTGCCACCAACTGAACACTGAGTTTTCGCAAAGTTTGATAAAATTGCATGTAAGCTTCTTACACATGAAGCTCTCTTTAACAAAGACCAAGAAGTGAAAGTTTTAATTCCCACTTATGGAACATGTCAGACTATACAGTCTATCTATAGAAAAGCCAACGGACACTCTCTGAACAACTATTACCACCAGAGGGGCAGTCCTGATGATAAGGTGGTTACGCACTGGGGGTCAGCAGTTCAAAGCCACCAGCCGCTCTACAGGAGAAAGATGATGCCGTCTGCCTACTCTTGTAAAGGGTCTGTCTCAGAAATCCACAAAGGCAGTTCTAGCCTGTCCTAAAAGGTTGCTTTGAGTTGGAATCGACCAGTAGGTAGTGAGTGAGAATCTTACTCCTAAAACTGCAAAGATAACTACTGACCAAAAAAAATGGTATTGCTGAAGGCAGTCAACCTAATCCTCAAGGAGGGCCAACAGGTTCTAAGTCAACTAAAACTAGCACAACCTTCCCAGGCGGTTGCCACTGCTGTCCCTTGTCCACCCTTCCAAAAGCACATGGCTCCTCACGGGAGATGGCAGTCGAAGGTGTGACTCAAAGACAAAGAAACACATAGGTCCAACGGTGCAGAAGAGTCCAGATGCTTTTCAATGGACTGGGTGAATCTCACTATGTTGTAATCTGTGTAGGGACATCCTGCAGCTATCAGAAGGAATCAAACATTAGGACTATAAATGAAAAGCTAAGGCATGTACTGATTAGTAGAAATAGACCAACGTGTACCTTTGGTCTCTAACAATGTACTTTCCAAATGAAGGCAACTACCTACTAACATATATTCTAAAAATTTTATTCTAAGTGGTAGATTTCACTGGATATGGGGACCACTGACGGGCGGAAGCACACTAGGTGGAGGCAGCCTATTCTGGAATCTCCAGACAGTGGTTAGGTTGCCTTGAATTGAAGTGCAGACGTTCCATTCCCTCTAAGGAAAACAAACTATGAGCCAGGGCAAACTGGGGGCTCTGAATGCACCCAGGAGCCAGTCATCCACAGCTCCCTAGTATAAGGTAACCAACCAGATGTCCCGCTTTTGGTGGGACAGTCCCGATTTTTAACAAATTTTCCCATGTCCCACGGCATTTTTAAAAAGTCCCGATTTTTGGAAAGAATGCATGACAAGCTAGGGTATACAGTTTTCGGCTGCCATGTGGCTATTTCACCAGGATATGAGTTTTATCAATGGTGTCCCGCTTTACCAATGTTAAAATCTGGTCACCTTAACCTAGTAGCAACAGTTGTGGAGTTAGGGGTTAACTTGGACTTGCAACACAGCTAATCAGCACAAATTCCTCAAAGAACCAGGTTCTCATTAAAAGTGGTGGAAAATGTTCAGCATGTCCCATTTCTGCCTAAGGGCAAGACGTAAAATTAGCATGGTGACAGCCCTGGCACGAAGTGCT